GGTACCGGCGGGCTGAGGGCAGCGGTGCTCAGGGACCAGCAGGCCGCGGCTCACATGGCAGCCGAGCCCGTCCCGCCGTGGCCCCGCTGCCCCGGAAGAGGCGGAGCGGGCGGGCGGCCCCACGTGCGGCAGTGGTGGCGATATGGCGGGGATGGAGCAGATGGAGCAGCTGCAGCCGCGGGCCGGCTGCGCGGCGGTGACCGATCCCCGCGGGGTGCTGCGGCAGGGCCGTGCCTTCCTCGACTTCTTCTGGGACATCGCCAAGCCGGAGCAGGAGGTGCGGCTGGCGGCCACTGAGAATCTCCTGCGGCACYTGCGGGAGGGCAGGAAGGTGAGCTGGGGGCCGGAGGGCGGTGGGTGCGGGCGGGCAGTGGGTCACACGGCTCAKCACTCAGAGGGAGCGGGTCAGTGTGGACGGGGCACGGGCCGCGCTCGGAGCAGCGCGGACACCGCCCACCTGGTTCTCTCTTGCAGGACGATGAGCTCAAGTACACTCTGAAGCGGCTGGTGGAGGGACTCGGAGCCACCCGCGAGGCCGCCCGCCCTGGCTTCAGCTTGGCCTTGGCACAGGTCAGTGTTTCCCAGYGTGAATCAGAGCTGTCTGAAGCTCCTGTGCATGCCTGGGGTCCCTTTTGCTGTCTGTGTAAGGCTGGAGGGCTCCCTTCTGACCCCCCTTGGGATGGAGGGCTCTCGCGATAGCCATAGTGGTTTTAAATGGTTTAGAAACCCTTACAAACTATACCAGTATCATATTCATGCTACAGAATTCAGTCCTGCTTCGAGAACCATCCTTAAATTACAAACAAGGTTTTCAATTATTCTGCACTTAGTACTATTACTGCTTCCTAAAATGGTCTTGCTCCTGATCTTAGTCTGTTCATGTGTAATATCTGAAAAGGCAACCCTTTAGCAAACACTTCAGTTTTCTTTGTCCACTGTGATTGAGTCTGTAACATAGCAGAGTCCCAGTATTTGGGATCACTAGTGGTGTCTGACCTTATCTCACCTGAGAATTTGATAAAGCAGAAGAGCCTGTGTGTGTTTTCTGCTTTTATCAGGGCCTTGCCCATGCTGAAAAGTTTGATTGCCTCTGTTATGGGGTCAAGCAGTTTCAGCAAAATGTTCTCATTATTAATCTGTCATGTACAGGGGGAGAAATGGAATATCAGCAGGTGTTTTGTGTTTGCATAGAGTCCTAGAATGGTTTAAATTGGATGGGTTAAAAATCATCTCCTTCTACCCCCTGCCACGGAAGGGACACCTTCCATTAGACCAGGTTGCTCCAAGTCCCATCCAGCCTGGCCTTGGACACTTCCAGGGATGGGGCAGCCACAGCTTCTGGGGGAAGCCTGCACCGGGGTCTCGTGACTCTCACAGGGAAGGATTTCTTTCTCATATCTGACCTAAATTGACCTTCTGCCAATGTGAAGTTGTGCCTCCTTGTCCTAGCACTCTGGGACTCCAAACTCCCTCTGCAGCTCTCTTGGAGCCTTTTTAGCACTGGGAGAAACTCTTAAGATCTCTCTGGAGCCTTCTTCAGGCTGCACAACCCCAGCTCTCCCAGCCTAGTTCCTGTTCTATATGTCTTTACTGATCTGGTTGTCTTTATTCTGGCCTGATAAAGCAGCACACCTGCTGCTGTGCTGAACAACTGTTCAGCTCTATTTCAGTTTAACCCAAGACAACTGCATGAAATGGGGGAGCTGTGAACAGTTATTTCTTCTCTCTCCTCAGGTTTTACAGGCTTTTGAGGAAATTCCACTTTGCAGCGTTCTGGAACAGATAAAAGAAAAACACAATCTGGAAAAAGTGAAAAAAGTAAGTCAGCTCATGGCAACATTTGCCAATTTWAAATGAATTTTTCTCTATTCTTTGAAGTCTTGGTGTGTACTGTAGTTTTGGGGTTCTTGTTAAAGCAAATGACAATAATGAAATAAAAACTGTAAGTTAATGATGATGTTATCTGGTCTTGTTTTAGCTGAGGTTTTTCAGTGTAATGAAGAGGTTCTCTAGGACAGTTCTTGAAACATTGTGCAGGGGGTTGCTTTTCAGTATGTTCTCTTCCCATGGTAGGGTGTTGAAGGCTGGWTCTTCCTGCCCTCTTGTTCCACTGACCATGTAGCTGTGTGTGAAATCTAATCTATCAGGAAAGTAGATTTTTACATATTTTCTTTTTATTTATTTTTTTTTCCTTTCAGAAACTTGTGAGAAATGCTGCTTTTGGGAACTTCTTTGGAGTTATGGCTYTGTTCCAGTCTGGGCGGCTTGTGAAGGTAGCATTGCTGTCATGTGTGTCASTTCTGATTCTGGGACTTCTGATGTGGAAACAATTGACAGAGAATGGCTGGGTCACTGGGTACTGGAAGCATTTTCAGTTCATTTCTATTGTGTAATCTGTGCACTCTTTGTACCTTTTTAATGTCTGTTCCTGAGTAGAATGTAGAAAGGTTCCTACCTCTCCTGGAAGGAAGGGGTCTGTTGTCATATCCAACTGGAAAATACCATTCCAACTGGAAAGTTGAATGGCTTATCAAGAAACAATTGTGTGTTTCTTATTGCAAGTAGGCATTAACATCTAAAGAGTGARTTATTACTTGAGCCTTTAGCTTGATTTCTGATATTTGTCCTCTGTTTTTGGCTTGTCTTTCCTTTTCAGGACCAGAAAGCTCTGCTGGARAGCATCCAGCTTCTCCATCAGCTGACAAATCACCAAACACACCTCAGAGATCTTCCACGCAAAACTCTTATTGACATTACCTCTGAGGTACTGGTGGGGTGGAGAGGAGTGGGTAGAGGGAAGAGAGGGCTTGGCTTTGGGGTTAGCATTTCCTTTRGTTTGTTCATAGCTGGAAGTTATAACGGGTGTGGAAGAGTGTAAACTGTGGGAGCTGTCCCTATATTGCCTGTGATCAGATGCTTGTATTCTGGGGAGAAGGTGCTCTGGTTTGGCTTCATTGCAGACAGTCCCATAGTCTGTTGTTTCCCAGTTCACTTGCTTGGATGATGTGTTAGACCATCTGCTCTTATATGTATGCTCTTTCAGTATGCTGAAAACTCTGAACAGC